GACCATATAGACTATTTTTTGCTTAATGCAAAGTGTCATCCTCTTCCACATCTTTCTCTTGGCAGGTGGTGAAATACACTCGAGTGACATCATGAGCCTCCATGGACACAGGCTTTGTGATGGGCTCTCTGCTGAAAGCCTCTTCTTTGACCCGAGTTCCTTGTCCTGAAGAACAGGTGATGTTGCTGGGATTTGTTGTGGGTCATTTTGAGCATTTTTGGATGTCCCTGAGCACTGTCTTCAAGCACAACTGTACTCCCATGGTCTAGTGATCCACTTACAGATGGAGAGATAAGTGGCTAGAAATGTCTGCTGTATCTCAGTGTTGAAAAGCTGTGATTGTGTGTATATTCCCTGCAAAAGGCTGAAGCACATCCTGGACTTTGCTGGTGACCACAGGGCACTTAAATGGCAACCTCAGAGAGCAGCACCACAGCATAGAAAAGGCCACATACGCCAGGCGTGCCAGACAGCCTTGTGAGGGGTGTGCAGCATGGTCAGGTGATGCCCTAAGGGTGGTGGTGGTGAGAATACTAGGGGCATCCTGGGACTGTTGGAGGAGCACAGGGATGAAAGACTTTGGCTTTGAAAGCACTGCTAGGGCCATTTTCCTGGAACAGTATAGTCACCGAGCTGGTACGTAGCAGACATCAGTCTCACTTAGCAGCGTGCTTCAGGAAGTTTCTCAGGGTTAAACCCCAGCTGTCTTTGGACAGACTTAGGAAGATGTCTCTACAAAAAGTCAGCAGGATGTGGCTAGTGGCTGGGAAAATCTTAGCTGCTTAAATGGGATCCGTAGGAGCTGTCAGACCCATGCTGCATTCTGTAGGTTGGAGAAAGTGAGAGCAGCACTCCAGTGACCCGTAAGAGCGAGATGGCTGACCTAGCACCCTTGCAAGGGACTTCAGTGAGGCGAGTGTGTGGGTCATTGTCCTCACTGTTAGCAGGAGAGTGAGAGTCTTCCATCTTTCACCACATCACGGCTATTTCTCCCTTCTTCTTGCTGTAAATGACTGCTCTCCCCTTTTATTCTTGTCCCATTTCCTTTATTCCCCTCTCTTGTGGTGAGCCTGTCATAACAAACACAGGGAAAGCTTGATGAGAGGAATTAATTTACCCTCAGGAGGGACAAAACTGGCCTGGGGACAGTGGAGGTTCCCAGTGAAGTGCCCTGGTTCCTTTGGCTGGGTGCCACCCCCGGGGCTGATTTGCTGCCTGGGGTGGGCAGGGGTGAGCTGGTCAGGGCACCGAGAGGGCACAGGGATTCCGATGCAGTAAGAGTGTGTGGCTCACTTTGCAGCCAACTTTGTTGCTCCAGGTGAATTAATTCAGACTCAATTTTTTAAATTATGACTCCAACCTGTTTGGTAAGAGGGGCCATATCCGAAATATAATCAGCGATACCTCAGTGAAGTCTAAAAATAGTGCAGACTGACACACTTAAATCACATGTAACATATCTCCTCAACAAGACAAGATCTCATTTTTCAACAGTGTGGGAAAACCCAATTATGCTTGGAGTGTACTAAATTGGAGAATGTTTAGCAGATGATTCAAAGGATTTAAATTTTTTTTCTTCAACCTGTACTAAAAATTAGCTTCCCTTCTTTTTATATTAGCAATTATTCTGCTGGTAAAGTAACTTCATAGCTGATTTCTTCTGCTATGTTGAAGTCATGTTCTCAGGCAGCAACACCTACCCATTGGGGTTTTTATTGTGCCTTTTTTTTTAATCTGTGTGAGATTTTTCCATCTTTCGTTTGAACTAAAACTCCACTGTTCTTAAAAGTACTGCTATTTTAGCAACATGTCAATATGCAGTATGTTTGTGGGTGTGCCTCTGAGTCTGTAGATTATGTGGTATCACCCTATTTTAAAGGAAGTCGTCTTTTTGTCAGATACACGCTCTTCATTAAAGATTTCTGCACATAGCAGTAATAAGGAAATCTGCTGTCCTGGGCTGGCTGCAGATTCACAGACTGTATTAATAGATAGGATTAGTGAAGAAGAACCGGTCAGAAGGCTGCAAAGCTCCTGCCCCTTGAGATTTCCTTCTTTAGATCATTAGTCTCATTGAAGGGCTCCCTCTAATACAGGGAGCAGAAACTGACGAAAAGGCTGGAACCATTTTATTTCATCAGGACATACTGGGGAAAGGGCAATTGCTGGGTCATAAGCTCCACTGAAAATGTCTGTCCAGGTTTCTCCACAGGCACCCTGGAGGAACAACAACATCAGTTTTCTGAGCAGAGAGGCAGCAGTAACAGAGCAAGGAGAGACTATCATAGGTTTCTACCTCCTGGCTTTAGGTATGTACTTGGCTTGGATTTGAAAGGAAGATCCTAAATAGAGTTTGATATAAAGTTCAAAGTAATGCATTTGAGTTTCATCCGTAATGGAGCAGGATGTTAGAAAATGCAACTTGTTTCTCTTTTGTTAAGAAGAGGTTAATAATCAATGCATAAATCTTGAGGGGAAAAAAAATGTCAAGCCTATAAACTTTTAACTGATGTTCACTAAACTTAATATGTGGGAAGATAAAATAGTACCTTCTTAGAAGTATATGATACCTGTATGTCTTCTCATGTCTCAGTAGCATTGAATTAGTGTTCTGTGATTTCCAGAGTTTTGACTGCTGATATTTGCATCATTTTGCAAATCCTACAACTGTCTCCTGCAGAGACAGAAAATATGGTTCTGTAGTTTTAAACTACTTTTTAACCATTTGTACTGCTCTTGCTTTAAACGTTTGGTGCACATAGAAATAGACTTTTTCAAACGAATCTATGAATGATCCAAGTACTAGATCCAGTGTTAGCCCTCACAGTATTGTGTGTTTATTTTGGTTCTGTTGCAAGACACCTATTGTACGTGTATAATAAGGATTTGCAAATGGCAATAAATATGAACACAGTTCCCAACACAGTTTTGTTTCGCTTGTTTAAATACTGTCTGTTTGGGGCAGACTCGGTGCAGGATACAAGGAAACTTTATAAAATTTCAGAGTGCAGGTTTGCTGGGTAATCAAAATTTCCAGCAATAAAATCTCACATAAAAGTTAGGTTTTCTTGTATTTTCATTAAATCTGTTCTTTTAAACAGCATATACAAAAATGTTTCTGTTTTTTATATGATTGATCTGAACAGATTTTTTTTTTTTCTTTTTCTAAGCTTATCACATATTGCAAGTAGTTTACCTAACCCTCAGTTTATGCTTGAGAAAGGTCTACGGAAGATACAATATAAAATAAGTACTTTACATTGTTTACATGATATATATTTTTTTTTACCTAGAGCAACTAGGGAGAGAAAAGTTGTGTTTAGAGTAAAAACAGAGATTCTAGTAGAAAAACGTATGGCTTCTGTCTTAGGAGACTTAATTAGAAGAGTGGCCCTAAAATAAACGAGTGTGGTTCCAATTTATCCCCAATCTGTTCACATCTGTGTATCCCTTCATGAATGGCTGGGAAATGGCTGCACCATCAGCTAATGAATTAATCAGTTGCAGTTAAGACTAGAAAGAACATCTTAGGTCAGCAAGGCCAGCCCCCTGCTGTGACAATATATAATCTCATTTAGGAAGCTATCACGCTCTCTCATGTGACTGGCGAGGGATTTATTGGTGTTTCTACCCCGCTTCCAATTGACATCCTGTTCCTGATTTTGTTTCTCTGTTGGGTAGGAGCCTTTCCCTAAATTCTTAGCTAAAGCGATCACACCAACTGTACACCCTTTTTGTCACTTTTTTTGAGATATTTTTTTTTTGCCTGACGTTAATGTCCAACAGCCACTCTGTGTTCCTGGAGGAATGATCATGCCCTGTGGTCAACCTTTGTATTCCTATATTAAGCAAGTGAGGGTTTGGGGGGATTTTTGGTTGGTTGATTGATTTGGTGGTTTATTATTATTATTATTATTATTATTATGTATTCTCTCCTGTCATAATATCCTTTCCCCTGTCATCCCACCATGTAATCTTAGCAGCCTTTTATGCTGTCCTTTTATGGTGTCTTTTCCAACCAGGTGGGGTTTTTTTATTTTTTTTAATTATTATTTTTTTTACTTAGTGCTTTAGGTGCCTGAGGTTTTATGTCTATTGGGTTTTGAATGCCCCAGATCCTTCTGCTAAGCTTACAAGTGCTTGGCATGTCATAATTGCTGTTCTTGAAAATTACCTCCAGACTCAAAATTCAAGTTGTATTTCTTGCAGAGTATATAATAACCAGTAATAGTACTACTCCAAGTTAAGTGTAGTTTGGACTTGGTTAAAATGTGATGGAGGTAGGTTTATGTTTTTGCAATAGGAACTTTTGAAAAAAATCTGCTCATATTACGTAAATGAGAAAATTCCCTGTGTCTTTTTCTCCTCAAAGGTCTTCTGCCGCATTTCTGCAAGCACCAGCCATAACAATTCACAACTATTAGTTTTATGTAAGCCAATTACTCAGTCTGTCTGGGGAGCAGTGATGTGACAGAACAAAGCACTCCGTTACGCAAACACTCTCTTGCCCTTCTGGCAGCAGAGGACAAATGCCAGTCCGTGTGTTACCTTCCCATACCTGCGTTTTTCAGGGGTCTGGAAAGACAATCTACATTTGCAGGATTCTATGAGTATTTCCTTACACAAAGTCTCAAAGATGTTCATATTTCATACTTTTGGTTTACTGGTGCCTTGGAAAACAGCTTCAGTGATTACACTTCTGTGACTTCTACATGTTTTCTTCTCTTTTACATCTAAATATGCTAGTGCAGCTTGTTTGCAAATTCTGATGTACATTTCCAACACCAAAGGGATGTATGTGAATGATCTCTGAATGTCTTCACCTTGACGGGCCAAAGTCCAAAAAACCAACTCTCTTTGGCCAAGTCTTTCCACTATCACACATCTTGACAGAGGACATGTATATCCAAGAACCATGATCTAATTCCTTTTGCTGAGATGAGGCCTCTTTGTGTGTCCCCTTCTGGAAATTCTTGCATGTCACAGGTAGCACAGTTGACATGCCTGACAGACAGGACACCGATGTATCTGTCATATATCATACTCCAGCCAAGCTGTCAGATCCAGATAGAGAGACTCTCAGAATACTCTACAGAGACCTGAGCTCACAGCCCATGCTGGAACGGGCATCGCACACTGATGTCACAAGCAAACCAGCATCAAAGTGTAAGAGTGCATTTTGCAAATGCTGATGGATTTTGAGATCACTGCAGTGCTTCTTGACATCCGAGTCACTGTGCCACCGTTCTCCTTGCTAATGCTTTGGCTAGGGGACCAGCAAAGTGTAGGGGGAAGTGCAATGGTGATCCCATGGCGGTGAGCCATCACAGCTGCTTAGAGGCACCAGCTGCCACTGGCTTTCCCTTCGTTAGGCTGGCCATGTCAGCATCCCCTTTCTGAAGGCAGTGCTCTGTTTCCATCCTTCCCTTCCACGAGCTCGGAACTGTCTTTGACAGATATGGGGGAGCTTGTCCTGTTGCTGGCATTACATCTGACCCCTTTTTGCCTTTGCCCTAAGTAATATAGTGCTGTGGAGAACCCTTTTATAGTTTAAATCCTTAGGTGCGATTTAAAAGTACTGCCCAGAGCTGCTAGCTAAGTCAACCTAGACTTTGGGGGGAAAAAAAGCACAGGTTGGGTTTTTTTTCTCCATAATTATTAATTGGAATTTTTCAGTTAATTGTTCTTTTCTGCATTTATTCACAATTTGTTCTCATTTTCCCTAGTTTCACAATTAATTGTGCTTGTCAAAGTGAATGTATGGCATAAAAGGAAATTTTAAGTCAGTATGAGAGAATGTTTGTTAGAGAACAAGTTCTGACTTCTTGCGAGTGCTCATATCAGAAAGGCATGCTGAGAGCATTACCAATCCCATCAGAAAGCTGGCACAGACCTCAAAACCCAAACATGCTTTTAAATGGCATGCGTTTCTGAATGGTAACAGTAAACTGTTATTTGACAAGTGACAGAATGAGCATTACTTTGGGACATTGTTTGACAGATAAATCTGAGAAGGTGGGAAAGGAAACAAGCTATTAATAAAACATTCAGCCACAAAATGATTGCATTTATTGAACAAATAATCTCTCCACGCTTTGTCAAGCCTAAAACATGATGAGTCTTCTTCCTGTCAAAATTGGCAATGTGCCCTGGATAGAATATTGTGTATTATAATTAGCAGCAAAGACTGAAAACAGAACAGGGTCACTTCACAGTTGCAATAGTTAATGACAGCTTTGCAAATTCCCTAGATCATATCGCTCTTTTAAAGTTTTCTAGTCTGAAAATCTTTTACAGCAAACCACTTCAGGTAGACATTTGTGCTTGTGTATAGGTAGTTGAGTCAGTAATTGACTTCATTCATGTCTGCTCCATATCTAGATGCTCAATCTAATTTCTGTCCTAGAGATAAGGTTATTTGCTGAGGGAAATGCATAGCTTTCATTGTGACACTAAGCCTTCACCTTTTGCTCTCATTTCTTGAATTCTTCTACTCAAGGTTCCCTGTATATTTTAAACTGCAGATGGGTGAGTTGTAACCCCCATTTTTCTCATTCATTCATGTCAGTTTTTACAAGCAAAGGCCATGCAGCAATGTCTAATAAGAACAAGTCTAAGTACAAAGCATAATAACCTGTCTTAGCTGGGCACAGATGCAGGCACCTATTGGAAATGTGAATGACCAGCTCAGTGCTATCACTTCCCTTGTACCAAATATAACTCTGCAAAAGTATAAATTGAATGTTAACAATGAAATTGCAAGCTGCCTCAGGTGTTTATCGCTTGTTCAAAGGCCATCTCAAGTATATGAGAGAAAAAGGGGGTATGTCTGAATGCTCAGGCTTGAGTGATTTGGCAGAAATATTTGCAAAATTGTTGTGTTCACTCTTAGCTGATCCGAAGCTAAACAGTCTCACTGTTCCCAGTCGCTTTCAGCAGAGACATTTTTCAATATCCTTAGTCGCTCTTGCTGTCTACTCTTTCACTGCTTTCTTTGCACGGGCTGGCAGACAGCACGTTGATACAGGCTCCTGACTACCACCACCTTGCTTGGCAGCCTTCCTGTGCCTCCTCCAGAAATCATGGATAACAGCACCAGCATCCTTTGTGGAGCACTTCTGACATCTGTGGATTAAAATGCTCTGTTAGGGAGTGTTATTCCAGGGGAAGGATTGCTACTGAATTACATAAGAGCAATACAGCATTTTAAATATTGCTGTCCATCCCGTTCCTCCTAGCTCCCAACGTTTGCAAATGTGGTATCAAGTATTTTTTTGTGGATGTCTGAGGAGTAAAGATGACTCTTTAGCTGTCCAATATTTACCATTTATTAACATTCATTTAACCTCTTCTGCTCTGATACTGCCACTCTCCCTGCAGCTGCTCTGTCCTGCCCTGTGTTAACAAACTTCAGTAACTGGATGTTATCTGTGTATTTTGCCACTTCAGAAGGGTTAGCATCTTTTATTGATGAGCAGCCCATATCAGACAATATTACAGCTTATGGGGGAAATGTGGTGGCATTATGTTGGGCAGAAGTGTGCCCAGTTTCTTCCTATCTGCTGGGTTTTTTTCCTCTCTCAGCCACATTTTGATCTCAGTTGGAACCTGTTCTTTCTCACCAGAATTACCTGAGGATGCTGGGGATAGGTTTTGGGTTTGGTGGTTTGTTTTTTTTCATACACTCTTGTGACTGAATATTGCTGGCAGCCTGCAAAAAAAAATGAAATTATTTCACTAGGTTTTCTTTTCCATCCTCTGTTTTATTGAGATGCCACCTGGTGACACCAACGCCTTATAGCACTTTGAAGTTCAGAGGTTTCTCTCTGGGCTCTTGATCTACCTGTGATCTACCCTGAGGTACATACCACCTGCAAAGCAGTTGAGGAGATCCCTGCCCTCACTGAGGGTGTCAGAGCTATTGCCATGCTTCCCCTGCAGTGCATTTGCGACCTTTTATCCTATTGCGTTCTCAGGGGAGGGGGTAGGGAGGTTGTTTGGTTTGAGGTGTTCCTTTGGTCGGGGTTGGTTGTTTTTTAAAAAATAAAATAAATGAATCAGTCACTATAGTCAGCAGCCCCAGACCAGCACAGCCATCTGGTGGTGCAGAGATCCGGTGTCCCGTAGTCACTGGTCAGGCTGATCGCATCTTTATGAGACCACTAGTTTTGTTACTCCAGGGTTTACTGAGAATCTAATTTTTACCACAGTATTAATGTGGTCTACTACCAGACAGATGAGACGTTTTAGGGACTGGGTATGCCAGTGCAGGTTCTCTACCTGCTTTGGCTAAAAGGATTGTACCTACCTGCAGAAATCATGCTCACTCTGTAACTTTATCTCCCTCGCTGCTTCCCCCATCCCCACCCTCAGGGTGTGAAGGTAGTTTCAAAAAATAATCCTGACTTAAGCTGCATGCGGCGGTTGGAAGCAAGACTCAATTAAGAAACATTGTCACCTAGTGGCCAGAATAAGATGTATTTATTATTCTTGATCTCATCTTTATAATGAGATAGATAGATAGATAGATAGATAGATAGATAGATCGATCTCCGTATCTCAGTGTCATTGCATCAGTGACTATTTTGGGTTAATACCACAGGCTGACAGGTCAGCTCTCCCCAGTTGGGAAGCCCTTTGGTAAACCATGTAGGTTTGCTAAGCAGGCCAGAGCAGCAGCAGCGTGGCAGCTTTGCAAAGAGACGTTATGAAAAGGGAATTGCAGTTCATAGTGCTATACAGAGACTGTCCCATCAACCACCTCCCTTCCCACTCCAGACTACCTGCAACACCTCAATGGGTGGTAAGCACCTAACCTCTCAGTTCAGCTCATGATACACCCAGGTAGACTGGAGATTCAGAGGCAATTTCTTCCCTAGCCCTTGCTTTTGAGGCACAGCCTTCCTAGCCCAAGCAACTCCGCAGAGAAGCTCTGAGTTCTGACACACAGGGCTGTTGAGGCTTCCTGAAGGCAGGCAGCTGCCCTATTGCTACAATATTAAACCCCTCAGCCATCTTCCATCTTGTGAACTCCTTTGAATAACCAGAGGTGCTGTGCAATGCTGTTGTGTCACATCCCTTTTCAGTGCATTTATTTGCTTCTTGCTGCGTCTATATACAGCACCCACACTCTGGGATACCTGTTGCTCATGCCTGGATAGAGGGCTAAGATCAAGGCTTTTTTCCTTCATCAGGTAGGTAATGCTGTACCCTGGCATCGACTGTGGGGAGCAAAACTATCAGCTGTTGAATTCCTAAACCTGCCCTAGGCTGCAGGCACTCAAAAGAGGTGGTGTTTTGCTCCACATTGCCACGGTGAAGTGAGGCCACCTACACTGGCAGTGGCAGAGCAGGTTTGAGGGGTGGAAACATGAACAGGGTGCTGCCCGACCTGCTGCTCAGCCCCACTCTGGCAGCCACCCTGGAGCCACTGGCTAAGCCCCATTTTCAACAGTGAGCCCGATGCTTATGAGTGAACATTTTGTGAAGTCACTCATTTCCACATGTTTACCTCATTCCAAAAGGTGGGATGCAGCCTACCAAGGACTTGCACTGATGGGTGGAAATTCTGGGTCTCTCCAACTGCGTAAGTAACTTTCATCAGATTTGCGGTCATCTCCCTTGCATTTTCCTCATGTAGCTAGACACATAGAAGGCAGGCTTCTCTGTTCCTGGAGAGTAAGAGAGGACAGAAATTTATTTAAAAATAAATAAATAAACAAACAAGTAAAGACTTTAAAGCTTCTGCAAGGTCTGCTATAAATGTTCGCTTTGTTTAGATTAATGGGTGTATTACTGAAAAATATTCCTAGCTGGAACAGACTTTGCTGCAAGGAGATCCTAGACTAGTTCTAAGAGAAGAAACTTAATTGTATTAGTTGGAAAAGGCAGCACTTTCTCAAGAGAAGACTAGTAAAACAGCTCTCAGGCTGTGTGTGTGAATTTTCCGTATCCATTATCGTATACAACGCACCTAAACAGTTTCAGCTTTTGGAAGTTTTCTTGTTGTCTCTGCTCCATCTTAGCAATCTTTTCTCCTTCCTTATTTTCCCCATGAGTTATGTTTCATGAGTTTCATCTGCTCACTTAGGGCAAAAAACTTATCCGGGTCTTTAAATAGTGGATTTTTGATAGAGGCGGCAGCAGCTCTTCATGTTGTGTTCTGTTTTATTCCCAGAGTTTTCACTTGTTCCTGCTTCTGAAAAGTACCCAGCTATTTAAAAAGGCTTCATGCATAGATTTTCCAGTGGATAAGCTGGTTTAATTTGCTTCTAGTGGTATAAAAGCATAGTTTCAGAAGAGACATCTCACATTTACGCACTGAACTGCTTCTTGATTTATTTGCTTTTTGATTTAATGGATTTTAAATATTTTTTCCAGGTTGGCTGTCTTGGTTTGGAAACAGCATTGTGATTTTCGTCCTGTATAAACAAAGACATCTTCTGCAGCCGACCGACTACCTCACATTTAACTTGGCAGTATCAGATGCTAGTATCTCCGTGTTTGGTTATTCACGGGGGATCATTGAAATCTTCAATGTCTTCAGAGATGATGGATTCATTATCACATCAATATGGACCTGCCAGGTAAGACTATATTACACTGAATTGGACAAAATAAGGTTATTTCTGTGTAAATGCTGTATATAAATAACTAGTCAAGGCCACAAGAGTGAAAGAAATACTGACTGATCTTCCAAAGGACAGTGTTCTCTTTTTGTTATACCCATAAATCTGTGTATTTGATCAGGTTTTGACCAATTTTCAGTGATTTTGTCTAAGATATTTGCAGTGGTTTCTACTAGTTTGGGTTTTTTACCTCATGTTACAGCTCTGACTTGTGTTGGACAACTAAGGTGTAGGATGTGCTTGTCTTCAGCTCCCCTGAAGTTACCCTGGTTGTTGGCACTTTGACTTAAAGCAATGTAGACTCCTACTTGACAAGACATGTAGAGCTAAGCTTTCACACAGCACTTGGGTATACCTGTGTATTTTAGAATGCAACTACTTGTACTAAATCATTTGTTGGTCTTAAATCTTACCCCTAAATTCATTGCTGGTCCGGGGCCTGTGGTAGGATGAGTGACTTGACTTTATGGCACAGTCATTCCTGAATTTGGAGGCAGCTTTTTGCTGGAAAACTCAGAAAATGTTATTATTGCTAATTCTGAAACACATGCGTGTAGACAGAATATAAATGCATTCCATGGACAGACAGGCACAAGCTTGGCTCCCTGGTGCTTTCAGTAACATCTGTGAGAAAGATTATACTAAGTGTGAGTGTCTGTTTCATGAGGGAGTCAAAAATCTGAAAATGACAAGATTGCCTACGGCAAGGTATAAGTTAGATCATGATGAAGGAAAAGGGAGAGAGAAATAATCCTCTTTTCTTTTTTCTTTTTTTTTTTTTTTGGTGGCTTTTTGGGGGTTTTCTTAAAAGGAAGTTGAATTATTGTATAACATAGATGAAAGCATTTTTACAACTCATGTTTTTTTTTTTTTTTTTTTTTTTTTTTGGTGGCTTTTTGGGGGTTTTCTTAAAAGGAAGTTGAATTATTGTATAACATAGATGAAAGCATTTTTACAACTCATGTCACCTCCCCTTCAACACAAAGGCATAGTTTACACAGAGAGGAAGACTCTGATTAACCTGGGATTTGTAGCTTGATCTAAAAAATGTTTATTTTCTTGCTCAAAATGTGTCTATTGCCGTTTGGAGAAAAAGAATTTATCAAAATGAAGATAATTATTTCCTCAGCAAAATGCCACTATTTCTCTAATGAGAATACCTACAACTGCAAACTAAGGTCTGTTGAGGTAAAAACTATTTTTTTTTATTAATGAAAACCTTTAAAGTCATCATATAAACAAAGCCATACCTGCAAACTGTAAAATTCATACCCACAGTCAGAATTAAACAGACCCTCATTTTGCCCTGTGTTTCAAGGAGGGTTGGAGCTATGATTAAGAAAGGAAAGGTCAAACCTGGATCCCCGGGTTCAAATCCAGCTTTGCTGCAGACTTCCTATGTAAGACAGGGTAAGCCATTCAGTGTGAAATCCTGACCAGAGATCTGTGGATAACTTAACATTTACATCTCTGCTGGTTAAAAGAGATAGCTTTAAGTGACTCTTCTGCCTCCCCAGTCCAAGTTCTTCCAGAGCATGAGAAGCCCCTGACATTTTTTGTATAGTTCAGAGCCTTGTCTGTGCTATGGCTCCTTGTTGGGGCTGTAAAAAAACAACACAGAGGAAGCGACAGCACAGCACACTGCCTGTACCTCTTGGTTTGCATGGGAGTCTTCTGTCAGCAGCCTTATAGCTTTCTTCTACAGTGCCTCTGCCTTGGAGTCCCCCTTTGGCTGATTTTAAGCTATTTAGAATCTCATTATAATGGATCTGGCTTTTTTTTTTTTTTTTTGAGATGTAAAAAGACTGGGATAGAGGTGTCCTTGAACTTAATGTGATGGAGGATTGCTTATTATTGCTCTGCTTGAACTGTCTTTACAAAAGAGAAGCTGTCCATAACATTTTTAGGGTACCCAGATGGTTTGTTGGTCAGGGTGCGTTAAATAATTTTAATTCAATCTCCTGGTTTTAAACAGCATTCATTTGTAAAATATGGATATCAAGCAAAGTGTTGAGGTATTGGAATCCAAAGATTTTTTTCAGGACATTAATAATACATTGGCTTTTCTGAACGCTCTGATATGCAAAATATTAAACTTTCTGCTTCGATAATCCTCTGTAGGCTCTAAAAGTTAACATTTATCATTTCAAATAGGAACTGATACTGTTGTAATACTAACTAAAAATTCGTGGTAACCTGGAAAAGGCAATTTGTACACTGAATGAAGAGTTTGAATTGCTTGTGATTGAATTGTTAGTGATTGAGCTGGTTGTGACTTGGTAGGATTCCTGTTTCCATCAAGAAGTTGTTCTGTGTTGGGGGGTCTCAAAAACGTGTTTAAACCCCGCCGTTCATCATCTTGGTCATTAAGCTTTACAAAACAGAAGCCAGTGATGGAAAAGTAACTTCTATAAGTAGTATGGCCGTTTTTGGGAAGATTATTTTGCAGAAATAGCGAGAAGCTTCTGTGCATTAAAAAGGTGTGAATTTTCTCTGTGTACACGTGGACAGCCAGCATGAAGGTCATTCTTAAATTGTACAATGCTGAACAGCAGCAGGGTTTTGATTTCTGGTGGGTTTTTTTTTTTTGGTATTTGCAAAGCATGAAACATTCATAGTCCAAACAGAGTTGGGTCTCACATCTGGAAGGTGAGGAGTGAGGAGCTCGGTGCCAGGAAGGTAAAGCCTAAAGCCCACACTTTCTGTCACAGCTCTCCAAAGTCAGTGTCTCTTGCTCCCCTCGCTGCGCTCAAGCTCCTCTGCAAGTAGCTGGGAGGACAGTTTGGGCTGTTGTGCACAGGAACACAGGACTTCCCACAGCATGGCCCGTGTGTTTTCCCTGGCTTGGTTCATTTTGCTGAATCCAGAGGACAGCCTCGGCTTTCTGTTGTTGTCTGTTTCATTTGATCAGTCAGCTTCAACTGTCAGCTATGTTTAGGGAAACTCTATTTTCCCAAGGTAGCCTGTCATTTTTGTTTATGAAGAAATTTCATGAGCTCACCTCACTTAATCCACCTATTTTCCTTTCCTCTGACTCTGGCCTCCTTCTGTGCCCGCAGGTAATATTTTCCAAAATTAAGGTTTACTATACTTGGCTGCCTGAGTTAGAGGGAGTGGGGAGAAGACAGGCAGATACTACTTCTCTTTCAAAACAGTGAAACAGTCTGTGAAAACTCTGTAACAAAAGATGCCTCTCCAGCTAAAAGGACCATCTCATTGCATACCCACTGAGTGGGACAGATGTGTGTGCTCCTGTTCTCCTACTCTGTATGGAAGAAACATCACTATTCTTGCCCATGCCAAATGTTCTTTTTCATTTTGGAGGTCTAACAGAGCTTTCCTCTCAAGAATGAGGGTGCATGGGGGGCCTGTATCCAAACGCTGCCCCCACTGAATCCTATGTAGGGATACAGTTTCCCAAAGGTGGCTTTCAGACTCTGCTTTCTTGTTTATCACTCCCCTGCTCTTCTACTGTGCCTTAGCCCTGATCTGGACAGGGGGAGGACAGACAGTCTCTAGCACATTTGGGGGTTTTCCTCTGGTAATTTAATCAGTAAACCAGTTTGTATAGTAAAGTTCATGTCAGGGAATGTAAGCCAGTGACCGAGAGCCATCTGTTCCCCCATTGACCATATTTCTAGTGAAAAGCTGCCTCAGGATATATTTTTGTCCTTACCATATGTTTTTTTATTCGTATGTTCTGCTGAATTAGAAGTTGCACTGAAAGCTGCAAATAACATTGCATGCAAATGTTTTTACATGTAGAAAGTAGAGAAATGTTAATTCTTTGCAGGTAAACACCACAGTTTCTTCTCAACCTTGCTAATCAACCAACAGAAAGTCTTTCTTTTATCTGTTAATCACGTGGTGAATACAAAAGATGCAGGCTTCAGGGAGCCTCTAAATGTAGGGGAAGATTGTAACCTATTAGATCCCCTTAGGTGCAATGCAGTCATGTCAGAAACCAAAGGCTGCCTTAGAATTCTAAATCCTTCATAATCCTGGTACTTCAGTTTAAACTTGTTTTCAGTAGTTCACTCTTCTAGTTTCTTTTCTTGTCTTGTCTTTTTTTTTTTTATAGAATATGGTTTGGTTATTTTGATGTTAATTTTATAAATACTTAAGAATTTTACTATGAGGGTCAAGAAAATTGACTGCTTGTATCATGTGCTCACTCTATTGTTACTGGCTTCTTTAAAGAAGCGTTACTTATTTCTGACTGTTTATTCCATATAAGGTGCACCTCAGCTGTGTGCAACAGAGCACAAGGTAGTTGTCCCCAGGTCATGGTACTGTCACAGACACACCATTGAAGTGCTGACTGACACTATTATCGCAGACGCACTCACCTCACTATCAGTCTAGGTATCCCCGGTCCATCTGGCCAGCCAGATGGTGCCAGAGCATCCCCAGCAGATCCGGCTCTGCACAGAAACAGCCTCAGGAGGAACCAAAAAAAATATGTCCAGCTTTGAGGTATTAGTGAGCAGCACAGTCACCTGCCCAACAGGACTCAGCCCACACCACTTCTGTCCCTGCAGCCTGCCCTTGCTGTCCCACCAAGGGCCAGCCTGGAAGGAGCTGCCTTCACCCTCTTCTGCTGAAGCTGCTTTGTGTTGTGGGAAATAATAAAGCCATGGAGGGGAACCGGAGAAAGAGAGATGACTGTCTCACCCTGTGGTTTGGTTTGCTGCATAGCAGTGAGGAAATCTGGTTTTCAGTCCTGCACTGCTTAGTGCTTGGATATTTTATCCAGTAATTCTGCCTGGCATACCCTGGACAGAAATAACTGACAATGTAGTCAGCAGCAGTGAGCCCCACATTGCATGCACCGAGTGTTTTACTCTGTTATCCCTAATTCATTTGTGCACAATCTGCCTGTCAGTACCAGACTTGTGGTGTGTGTGCATCCTGAAAGGGCGTGATGTAGCTGGGAAGTCCAAAATTTTCTAGAAGTG